GTATTGAAGTGAGACATACTGTTCTACTGTAACGATATGTGGTATAATGAAACATGTTTTTAGTTATAAGGTTGTATTGAAGTGAGACATACTGTTCTACTGTAACGATATGTGGTATAATGAAACATGTTTTTAGTTATAAGGTTATAGTGAAGTGAGACATACTGTTCTACTGTAACGATATGTGGTATAATGAAACATATTTTTAGTTATAAGGTTATAGTGAAGTGAGACATACTGTTCTACTGTAACGATATGTGGTATAATGAGAGATGTTTTTTAGCCTTCAGAATGAATTCCAACGCTTGATTTTCACCATGCCGTACACTCACTTCGCTCCTTATTGTGTTGGAATGGCAACAGGGTATATTTTATTTGTTTACCGACAAAAGAGGATCTGCATGCATCCGGTAAAGTGTTTCCTAGACAACAACAGTATGAGTAATTTAATTGTAAAATACTAAAATTAGAAAGTTTTCTACATCTTCAGAACTTCAGTTTCTATCTCTCATCTTTTAATCACGTTAACTCGTTTTGTTCATACTGTCAACAGTAATAGTTTGTTGATGACAGAAGATTAAAATCTGCTTCTATTTATTTAGTTTTTTACACATCCTATGAAACTTTCCTATTACATACTTTAATATGTGTGGAAAATGTATTGCTGAAGATTCAAATTACTAAGTTAGAAAACAGAAATACGTTAAAACCTCCTTTACACGTTGTAGCCAGTGTCTGAAAGTCTTTATCAACATTGTCTGCCAAATAAACGTTATATTAACGTACATACCTTTATTTGTGTAATATTATATGTCTTGACACCCTATTTCAAAACTACTTAGCTAAATTACTGTACATTTTATCATAAGTCAGTGAAATTAGCAAATGAAAACTTTGAAGAGTATTCAAATTGTATATCACTGATAGTTGTTCAAAATAAAGCCAACAAACTCGTAGTAAATTCAGACATATCTACAGCATTCAGAAGTTGGCCTTAGGCGAGCGTATTTTTTATCTTACAGAGAATTGCTAGTGCGAGAAAAGTTCAAAAATAATTATAGTATCTCAAAGCATTTGAACAAGTCTGAGGTTCATCTCATCACTGAACAAAATAAAACCGTAGTGTTTGACAGCTTACAGAATTTTGTCTTTCAAAAATTCGTTTTGGACAATCGAAATTCGAAAGATTAACAAATCAAAAGCACTTGAACGACATTTTGTTTTTATCTTATCACTGTTATCCTAAAGAAAGCACAACATTAAAAAATAAGCAAATCAAATCCTGTAAACAGATAACCAAAAATAAAGAATTTAACTGTTTCACTGCAATCCAGAGCATTGTACTAGGTTTTTTATTTATTTTCTTTGTTGTTAAGCGCAAAATTTCACAATGGGATATCTATGCTGTGCTTACCACAGGTATCGAAACCCAGTTTTAGCGTTATAAGCCTTCAGACTTACCGCTGAGCCACAGAGGGGCATTACAGTAGAAGCTGAAAATTTGGCGGCATTATGAAGACAGGGTATTGCCATTCAAACTTCACATGGTTTACCAGTTTCAAAATTCAGAGAAGTTATGAATTGTTAAAACATGTGCCTTTTTTTTGTAGTTGTTGTGTATCTTAAAATAAAACCAGCATCGAAAAATTTAGTTTTATCAGTCTACTATGTTTTGAAAAATGCGTGGTGTTTATTCTCTTCGTAACATGTGTTTTTAATAAGGTTTATTCGTATGATAATACGTGTTTTCAGTGGCAACCTTCTCAAACCAAAACTTCTACTTTTATTCCTGTAAATAGAACGTGGTTTTGCTGGGCTGGATTATAGCTTTCGCCTGCAACCTAGCACTGGTGTTCGGAATTCTTGAGTGGAATAGTGGATATTTACCTAAGCAGGCGACAGGGGCAGTTTATGCTGGTGTCAGTCGATTCGCCTGGTCGTTAGGCCTTTCCTGGGTTGTTGTGGCCTGCACGAGTGGCTACGGAGGTAAGTACGTTTCATCCAGTGCAAGAATGGACATTCTGGACTCTACGTTTTAAGCTTCATTTAAAGTAACCCTGGTTATCTCAATTATTTTAGGCTCAAGTACTGGTTGAAGACTTATTACTAATCTGGGTGAAATGATGATTTTTTTATATATGTTGCTGATCAGTTGAAGGTTTTGCTGATTATAAACATCCTTGAAAGTAGATTTCTTTCAAAAGGAAACGACATTTTATTTTTTGGTAATAATCTGTTGGTAAAATGTTAGGTCAAGTCTGTGTTAGGTTGTACGTTTTTCCTACGGTTTTAACTAAGCACATGTACCTGGTATCTTGTAAGCATTACATTATGTCAATGTGACAATGGTATTATGAATAGAATGAAAAACAATCGTAAAGGAAAGGAGAGAAATAATTAAAGGAAAGGAGAGAAATAACAGTGATTACATGCATACTTTTGTAAAGGAAAGGAGAGAAATAACAGTGATTACATGCATACTTTTGTAAAGGAAAGGAGAGAAATAACAGTGATTACATGCATACTTTTGTAAAGGAAAGGAGAGAAATAATAGTGATTACATGCATACTTTTGTAAAGGAGAGGAGAGAAATAATAGTGATTACATGCATACTTTTGTAAAGGAAAAGAGAGAAATAACTAAAGGAAAGGAGAGAAATAACAGTGATTACATGCATACTTTTGTAAAGGAAAGGAGAGAAATAACAGTGATTACATGCATACTTTTGTAAAGGAAAGGAGAGAAATAACAGTGATTACATGCATACTTTTGC